GGCAACGGCAAGTAACATTAGTGTTAGAGCTTTTTCTAGCTTGGCAATCATTATCTGACCTATCTTTGTCACCTTATCAACAATGCATTATTTCGGCAGTTGCAGGTAAGACTGTTTCTCTGTGGTTGCTAATTCCAGGTGAAGCTCGCTTCCATCTTGGACCTTGATCACTTTGTATCAGAACTATAAGAAGGATGGCGACCAAGGTGTTTCCATAGTAGTTAAATAATTTTTACAGTAAAGCCGCGTCTACTAATCCATTTATTTCTTACTCTATGGAAAACAGTAGGGCTACAGAACGGTTTTTCAAACTACCAACGCATCTCGTCTATAAATCTTTGCATTGCGTGCGCGCACCCGTGTTAACTTCACTCGGGAGAGTTTTACACTAGCGGACACAGAAACCACGCTCAATTTAAATGTAAATAACGCAATTAGGGACTCTTACTCGACTATTCACTCCCCAATCTGCTGGTGACCGTTAACGATTTGAATATCATGATTAACTGGGGCTCTGGAATTACAATTGAATGGCGTCAGGTTACAGTTAAAACATCATAAACACAGAATTAAGTTATAAAATGTAATATTTATGGGTGCATTGTAATGTTTGAAAATTATTTGTCGGACAAGAGCTATTATTTTGAATAATTATAGTAATCATTATAATTTATGAAGAATGTCACATTATCTTGTCTAATTCTAAATTAGCTTATGAAAATACAACGTATTACGAGTGTTTTAATAACTGTCAAGTGAGCAATTGCGATTATTGTTTGACCGGTTGAGAATTATTTCTTGCATGTAGGATCTAAATACAAAAACGTATAAAATAATATACAGTTTTACTGATTAACGGAAAACATAAATAACACAAGAGCACACAGCGGTATTAATCTATTGATTGAAAAGTAGTTAGTGTTACAACATGACTGATCACCCAAACGATTGCAATTTTAATTAGTTCGATAGAGATTTTATGTTAACCGTATATTATTGGGTTTTAAAAGCGTACGTGCAGTTTTTATGGCCCCGAGTGTTTTTAAGTCTCGGCTACAATAATTTTTACTATTGAATGAACTATGAAGCATTTATGTGAGCTGTAAATAACTCAATTGACTTCATACGAACAATTTAAGATGACAGATTGCTCAACTCTACAATTGGTCTTTGTGAGTTAAGAAAACGATGTCCATGGCAATAATTACCCACATTTGAAATGTGATTTTAACGACGATGATTTTAGCAATGCTAATAATTGGAACCTATAAAATATGCATTATTTATACCAATAAACTTTCATGAAAAGTCATAAAACTATGATTTAAAGTCGTGAGAAGAAACATCGACAGCCTATCCTAGTTTTCTAACTTATTAATTGGGTTCAAAGAAACTTTTATACTGAGAAAGCTGGAAATTTATTAAGTGTTTTTATTTTCATGTTTACTATTGATGTAGGTAGGTCTTAATTAGGTGGTTTTTTTTAATTATTCTTACTTCTGCATCATCGTCATAATTTTAGCCAATGCCACAAAGCAAGATCTACATGTATATTTTATTAGTCTAAATACTTACTCAAATCTTCAATCAGTTATGTCAAGCTCAAACTCAAGACACGATATACAGAAAGATAGCGTCAAAAGAGCAAATATCCGACAAAATGGAACACGCTCTTACTTGTCCGATAAATCCAGCAAGTCCGTTCTTAATTGAAAATTCCACAGTTAAAATATTCCACGTTGACCATTGGTGATACCGATCCCGTACCCGCTACCATTGTACGTACCTATCCCGGTACCCGTACCGGTAACCGCTAATAGGTACAGGCTCCCGGTCTAGATTGGGTTCACCTATCGCGATATTGGCTTAGATTGGGCTACTAGTTTGATTTGAGAGCCAAATGTTTGATCAAATTGGAAAATTATCGCGATCGGTTTTACTGTTATTGAGGAAATAACTAAGAGTAGGCGCACACCGTTGATTTTTAGTTGGCCGATAGTTGTGCCCGATTTTAATTTGTATGAAGAATCGGCCAAATCGAATCGGCGTAGTGTGCGCACTCCCATACATGCCCATACTGATCAACTGCCCGACTAAACTATCTGCCGACGAATAATAAACGGTGTGCGCCTACTCTAACATTGTTTCTAAAGTGTATAATTTTCGATAAATCGGTTAAATTTTAATTAACACTGATGATCGGGTAAATTATGATTTTTTTAAAGCCAATCATGGTTTAATGAATTGGAAATATATAATAATACAAAGCAGTTATAATATTTCTAATATAGACTTTAATTCGTCCGTTATGATGCATGCAAGTAACTGTGTTGAAGCAATGAAAAATTTAATACTATTAGGAGTAGGGAAATCCCGTAATCGCGAAATAATTAATGAAAACAAAATTATTAATGATGATAAAAATGGTTCTGCTTTTTTATTAATTAGTCAAAGCCATACATTTGAGCTTTTACGAGTGACCAATTTAACTAAAAAAAATTACTATTTGAATGATTATAATATAGAGTGCATCTAAAACAAATTTACATTTTTAGGGTTCCGTAGCCAAATGGCAAAAAACGGAACCCTCATAGATTTTTAAAATGTGATCCTCCCCATAAGACCGTTGTCTTTCTTTTAGTAGCTATCCACAATGTAATAATCATTCAGAAGCATGATTATTTTCCAATGTAATCAAAGTAGATAATAAAGGTGATGCTTTACTACATAAATATGCAAGTACCTATAAGCTCGTTACAATATAGGTAATCCTTATATTAATTAGGCCCACTTCGCCCGAGCCCTTCGGCGAAGCTTTCGTCCCTTAACGAGCTTCGAACGGAAGCTCGGTGTAAAGTTCAATTATGTTCATAGTAAAACAAATTGTTCATAATATGCAGCTGTAGGTTATGAAAGTTTTGTATTAAAATTACCTAGTAGCAATTTTAATAATAGCTACTTTTAACGATTTCAAGTAAATAATACATTGAGAAAATGTTATTTTACATTTTTTATTTGAAAATATAAACATAATGCAGTGATAAATATTTATATTATTTTATTGGTAAACAAGAAGTATTAAAATCGTTAGTTAAGCAGTGACAGAACTTGTTCTGAGAGCATTGAATTATAAAATATATTGAATATTTTCTATTGATATTCCTGTTTTTCTGGTATCTTTGTCGATTTAAATATTATTCATATTGTGTATATTTCAATAAAAAATACCTACTTGGGTAAACGCGGAGGCATACTCTTACACAATTAGAATTAATCAACTAAAACAAAATTAATCTTTCTATTATAATTCGACGTATTAACGAATCTTTATTACACAAATCATAATGAATGCTTCAAACTGTCAAATAAAAGCTCTAATGAGCTTGTTGAATGTTAATGACATTCATAAATAAAGTTGAATCGAGATCCGTTAAGCAAACTTCGTTTTAGTAATTCGCGAATAGGCAAAGGCGTGACCAATTTATGACCCATGTCGGATTATCAAAGCAAAAAAAGAAACCGGTATATTACATCCATCATAAAATAATAAACTTATTTCAAGTTAAAATATTCGGTGGATTAGGTTATGGTTAAATGAGCGTTGGTTATTAGTGAACTTGAGTAAATACACCGTCTCTGGTGGGATTGGAACCCGCGACTTTTGACCACTGACTGGAGACCTATTAGCGATTTTATGCAGCCCTTAAACTAAAACACCCCAAAAGCTAGGCTATTCTGTACCCATTACCAATGAAGTTATCAAATCAAATGATTTTGTTACACATTATTTTTCTGGCAGAAAAATTGAAAGTTTTATTAATCTTCAAACTACATTATGTAGCGTTTACGAAACTTAGTTATATCCTGATACTTACATGACAAAGTAGGATTCCCGTTATGTAGTTAAAGGAGACTAACAAGCTTTGGTTATTTTGGTGTTTACACATTTTTTACCGAAACAAAAAAGGTCTCTACAAAAAAGTAAATTGAAAAACGGTATTTCACGATATTAATGGATAGTTACTGCTGCATGTCAAATGGTGATTAAAACAAATGAGAATAATCAATACACAGCCTGCTTGATGAATGACTAACTATTTTAGGAAAAAAGGCCCACTCGTTTGTTGAACTTTAGCACTGTTGGATGAGATGCGCACACGTACCTTTAAAACGTTATTGAAGCCATATTTTCGCATTTTAAAAATGTTTCCAGAAACAGTAATATCTAATAGTGCTTTTATATTATGTCGTGTTTATTCCATTTAAAAACATTAGACATTGTGTCGGAAATAGATGCAATAATTAAGGATATAGCTTTCTGACATTACATCAAAGGACGATTTTAGGAAAACCGCACCTTTTACAGTTAGCGAAGTCAAAGTGTTAAAATTGATAGGCTGTAGTACACACGGCCACAGCCACAGTGTTAACTATCCATTTCCGTTTTTGCTCTCGCTCTCATCAAATGGTGATTCTTTGCGACATGACCGGCAATGGTGAGGACGTTTGATGTATAAACTCAAACTAATAATAATAATGACGTTTATTTCAAACAATTTTACAGTTCATAGTAGTTAGTAGGCTACAATTTATAATCTTAAAAGTAATGTTAGTGAAGTGTTTGGTTTTCTAATAATTATTGCACAATTAGGTAGGTATTGTTGAAAGTTTGCCAATTGTGACTATGCTAGAAGTGTCTTCTCACATAATCACTCTCCTCTAAGCCCTCAGACTTCTGCAACAAAATGTATCTTACAGCTAAATAAGAAGATGTGCCGTTGTCTGTACAATAACAGAAAGCTCGATAAATCAGTATCCGATGAGCCTTTATCGTAATTTTGCGATGCTATCGCGAAACCACTGCTGCGGTCACATTATGCAAGCTTTATTGTTTGATCATTATTTGTTCAGTCAATCCGTGGGTCATTCCGAGACGATCATCCGCCGTAAATTGAATTATGATACGTCTCAATTGAGAATAACGGTGCTTTTCTTTTCAGGTCCTGGTCGGGAATTGCGAGACTGTATCGCCTAGGAAATAAAAGGTAAAATATTTTTTCTCATGTAGAATAAGTAAAAAAACTAAAGAAAAAACGGGTTTGGTGTGTTGAGTGTAGAGTCCTTCATTTCACGATGTTGGAGTAAGAATACCTACTTACCTTTACACGTGTGGATTTAGTTATATCACGTTATACATCATATTAACCGAAAACTACAAAATTGATCTCACTTAACACCAGGTGCGCTTGCGGTCAAATACCTGCCATATTATGCATAATAAATAGTTCGCTTTACACCTTTTAATTGACTGAAAAATATTTTATTTAGATGAAGAGATAAATAATGGTTCCAGCTACTACTAGTTTCCAAGCCATTGTCTAAGACGGATTTCTTAATTACTGGAACTTATTAGACATGGCGTGAATATACAACGATAAAACATTTCTCACAAAAAACGAAAAAACCATAGCAGCAGTCTTTCGACCACGCAGGTTTGTTGACGGGGCACTTGTGCCCAGGATTATTGACAAATTAATACACTAAGCTAATCTTTAGTGAATTTCAACTGAAGAATAACCTTGTCATTTTAAGATATTTCCCATACTAAGGCTGAGTTGCACCATCATACTTTGACTTTAACAAACGTCAAAAATCTGTCAAACCCCATACAAAAAACACCGGTTATTGTAACAGTTACGGTTAAAATAAGTTGGTGCAACTCAGCCTAAAACTGTCACTGTGCCAAACTTATTATTCAATTAAAAGTTATCCGATGATTGAAAAATCGGCCCTTAATGACGTGTTAGGAAACAAGAATTAAATCAGGTTTCAAGAAACAAACATTTCAATTATTAAAAAAATTGCAGGTAATCTTTTGTTTGTGAAGCCTTGTTTAATGCCTTGCTTGTTTTGCTTCTATGTATTTTTCGTTCTCTTAATTGTAAGTCATTGTATGAAAAATACTTTTCTGGCAATTAGCATTCATTACACTATAATAACAAGATATAATATCCAGGCTATGCTTAATTTAAGTCTCATAAATATTTCGGTTATCTTTTCGTCGTTTGATCGTATCTTTTAATAATAAATTGTTTAAGCCCTTTATCGTGTGAATTCAACAACAATACAACATAAAAGTTGGCTGATTCGGAATATGTGAAAAATTGCGGAGATGCGCTAATAAATGCCAGTTGTATTTAATTATCTGAGATCTGCGTTCCATGTTTTATATCCTGCGTTTCAAAAGTTGAAACGTTAAATATTGTTCTTAAAGTAGTCCCTCAATAAAAATAATTTCAAGGATCTGTTACAAATAAAAGAAAGAATTGAGCGTGTTGTAAAATTGTAAAACTAAGTTGTTCAACTTCCGAAGTTCTCGTTCTTAGAAAAAAGCAATTTATTCCAGCTTGTAAATAGCAAAAGACAAAGTACATACATAATTACAATTTTTAAATGAAATATGCTTCATTTTCCGGATTAAGACTGAAAGTTCCGTCATGGAACAAATTCACAACATCGTTTTACATCGCTATCTTTGTCACGACGTTTTTTATACGGAATACAAATCATATTTTGCTAATTATGCGTTATTGGTTATTGATTTATGAATGTATGATCGTTGGTATAGCGAGTGTAGCATGACGGCTAGAAAGAACAGCCAATCCATTTCTAATAATAAGCAAATCGGTAGGCCTAAGATGCGCGCCGCGATAAGTGTTTATCGCGCTATTATATCGATTTTTGTCGATAAGCCCATCATTTGATGACTAAAATCATCGATAAGAAATTATCACGGCGCACATCCTAGCCAAGCTGGTTGATTTGCTGTTATTTGTAGGAATCCAAATGCAGATTTCTTAATTGGTCTTGAACCTTGCACTGAAAAACATAGAGGCTATATATTTTCGTTATGAAAAGCAATAAAATTACACACATTATTTATAATTCTACTGTTGTGATGGTGTCCAGATTTCAAGAAAATTGATCAATATAAAACCTTTTACCCTCAATTAACTACCTTTTTATCTTATAAAAGAGCAGCAATTGCAATCTTAATTAAGATTGAAATACGGTGGCAATTACAATATAGAGCTGACATTTCAAAATCTCTTAGCACTTTACACTACTATCTTATCCTTCTTAAAATGTCAGATAGCTTAAGGTTTTTTGTACCTTAGTTTATGTTTTATTCTTTCTCGGTTCTTACATATCTGTTAACATTGGTCTGTGGTTATCTATAGTTTTTTGTTTATTTGGTTTTTGTTGTTCTTTCTTGCTTAACTGTTCAATTTGGGCCGTAATAATAATATAGAGCTAATGACCTTTATGTTAATTGCGATTTACAGTTTTTAGTGTTGAATTATAATTATTTGCATACGCCACGCTTCATTGGAGATATTCAACAAGTCAATTAGTACTGCTAACAACTAACATGTTAACGTATTGTTAATATTCGTTTAATGTTATACAAATAAGTGATTAAATGACAGGGATCTTTTTTTCATATTTTTTTTTAAATATCAGAAGTTATATTCGTTTGGTTTGAATTCAATCATTCTAACTTGTTGTAAACCACTGAGTTTGCAGCTTATTTTATAAATTCAATTGGGATCTTATTTGACAGGTCTTCCAAACGGAGTCATATTTTTTTTACGAATACTTAGTCGACTTAACCCAAAAATGTCTTCACAAAATAAAAATAAAAACAAAAATAAATAAAATAAATTAATAACTGGCAAAAATTACACATAGCTATTTATAAATTAATTGTGTGGTATGTATCTTATTTGGGAATAAACCTAAGACTTCCGGATCGAGAAAACCAACTCCATTAGTTAATTCATAGCAGCATTGTTAATACCAAGTACTGGTACTGTACTAATAATAAAAATTATAATTATAAGTTGTATGCACGTATGTACCTATGTAAATGCCTAAAGTGTTAATTTTTAATTGTAAAACAGCTATTAACATTATAGTTGAATAAAATTTATTTAATTAACTTTAAATACATTTCACTCATTAGCACTAGTCATAATTAAATTAATCAAATAATATGAAGCCCTTAATTGGAAACATTACTGTTACTACATCATTCTGTTTTAAGATGGCGGCACATCAAGCTAACACTGGAGCATCTTATGTAAGAGTAATTTATTAGGTAACTATTTTGCAATAAACGTGTTTATTGTGATACTAGCTTTCCGCCCGCGGCTTCGCCCGCGTGGAATTTTGTCTGTCACAGAAAAACTTTATCGCGCGCGTCCCTGTTTCAAAAACCGGGATAAAAACTATCCTATGTTCTTTCCCGGGACTCAAACTATCTCTATGCCAAATTTCATCAAAATCGGTTGCGAGGTTTAAGCGGGAAAGCGTAACAGACAGACAGACAGACAGACAGACAGACAGACAGACAGACAGACAGACAGACAGACAGACAGAGTTACTTTCGCATTTATAATATTAGTTGGGATTAGGTATGCTACCGACACTAGGGATGTTATTCAACAATAAATTAGACTGGACACTACCGGTAGCGTAAAAGGTTTTACTTAGAGGGAAAAACGAATTTCTATCGTTAGCCAAAAAAGTAAAAAAAAACTGGGTTACTGCGGTACAGTTTGTAGCATCCTAGCTGTGTGCTCATGCCTACATTGTTTTCTTCAATGATGTGCAACATAGCCACAGTTCACACTTGAATCACAGATTAACTACTATGTTAACTTGAGTCCACACACCGATCAAGGAATATTGTAATCATACTCGTATTAAAAATAGGAACTCTACAAAGTGACAGTTTAAACGTCAAAACGTCGAATTCCAATTCCAAATTTCAAAAATATCGATACTTTTTTAACATCAATCCCACAGATAACGTAAATTGTATTTGTTTAGTTTAGAGAAATTAATGTCTACGATGTCAAAATTGGATAGTCACAGTCTGTAACGCTAATTCTTGAACAAGTAATGGTATCAGACTCAAGAAAACATATAAAACATCCAATTAATTTATGTTATGCTTTCTAATCTTACGGGAGATGGTGGTGAAGATTTCTTACACCTGTCTTTTAATTATTTGTATAATGCAGTAGTTTTCCGTCATATATTTTGTTGTTTGAACACGCTGTTAATCTTTTGTTTTGTTAATTAACATGTGTTGCTTATTTAAAAAGTGTTTTAATTGCTTGTTCCTTGACAGAAGATCGAAATCAACATGACTTGGAAGTTGAAAGGGATAATTAATTTTGAATTTGATGATGTAGGTATAATTTTATTGAATTCTTACCTTATTACCTTGTAAACTGGACGTATTAAAATAAAGAAAATAATCAGATCTCCTGCTTTTTTCATCCAACCTAAGCTATCTTCTAAGATCGTCAGTCCATCGAGCAGTGGGGCACCCGCACTACGTTTGTCAAAACATGAAATACTCCTAACTTTTTTAAAACTAAATCCACAGTTTCATATAACACATGATTGAAATTTTCGTTAATAAACCAGACATGAGTCAAAATTAATCAAGTTACATGAATACATAATCGGTAAATGTTGGAATACTTAGATAATTGATTTCCGACATTAGACAGTTTATGAATTACTAATTACAAATTTGGTAAAAGGAAGTGTTTAAGGATCTAAAGAAAGGTAAGTATATGGATTATGTAAAGGAAATGTCCTTGGAAAGACTTACGCCCGTATTCACAAACGATGCTTGCTTAACCCTTTTCTTGGCATTGTAACAAGGGTGATACATCATAATTTAAAAAATCCTGAGGGCAGCGAAAGCATTAGAAATAATTTATTTTATACATAACACGTTCCTGATATATCATAGAATGAGATAAAAAAAACTATTCACACAAAAATACATTTGGCTGTCAGTTATTGGCAAAATTGGTTAACCTAAGCATGCTGGCTTCAAACGCGTGGTAAGTTTATTTGTTTATTGGCGATATCACAAAATATTTGTGTTATTTTCTGTATGTAATTTACAGAAGAAGGATTACTCTGAGTTTTTCGTTTGGTTTGGATGGTGTGTATTGCT